GAACGAGGCACAGCGCCAGTTCGACGCCACGGGGCCACCAGTGTCTTCGCGCGTACGCCTGCTCGCTCCTCCTCCTCCACCGACGCCACGTCCGAACCGCACATCGATCTCGTCGGGGGTGTTAGTGCTGGAGCCGTGTGGACCTTGACAGATTCCGTTTTGTGGACCTTGACAGATCGTGTCGGCCAGTCATCGGCGGTCGCTCCGTTCTGAATCAGAGTCGGTTACTTTTTGGTGCGTTGGATTTCGCAGCCATCCGCGCCTACGAGACCCGACCCATGCCGCCCGTCCGCGACAGGCGCGCGGTGTTTTGACAGCGCGTGCGGGCGGTCGCCTTGGAGACCGCGGGGAGGCTCCCGCCGGCTGGCCCCGGTGCGTGTGCGAGCGCGTATGGGAGCGTCAATCCCCGCCCTGCCCATCGACGCCGCCGCCGCCCCGGAAAGCACTGAGCTAAGCTGAGCTGCGCTGCACTGCGCGAGGCTCCAGAGCTCCGCCGAGCGGCCGCCGCCGGGTCGTCGCGCAGAGAGCGCAGCGCCGCCCGGGCACGCGTCCAGCAGCCGCCGGCCGCGGCGCCGCCAGCGGCGGCGCCCGCCGCCGAGGCCAACGCCCAAACGCCAACGCCAACGCTCCCTCCGCCGCTCGCCGCCACCCCCGCGCTCCGCTTCAACCCGCCCCTCCCCGCTCCGCTCCGCCCCGCCCCGCCCGCAGCCCGTCGCCCGCGCGTGCAGTCGCCGCCGGCCAGAGACGCTGCTGCCGCTGCTGGTGCTCCCGAGCGATCGATCAGCGCCCCTGCCGCGCCGCGGCAGCCTTGGGCTTCGACGGCCCCAGAAAGCGCCGCGCTCACCCGCCTTGTAGTATTAGACTCACGCCAGGCGCCGTGCTTCGAACAAGCCACGAGAGCTGTTTTTGTTGCCGTAGCGGGCGACGGACGCATCCACGCGTTTAGGGGGCGCGCCTGGAGACCGGAGGTCACCAGGGCCACCGGCGGCCATCGATCGCCGCGCCCCGCCCCTCCCACTCGCGCTACGCCGCCGCCGCCAGGGCTTCCCCCGGCCACGTATTTTAGCGAGCTAACCGCCACACGCGTTGCGGTCTTGCTTTTCGCCAGCTCTCGCAGATACCATACTCGCTCGAGTCGGTGCACATCAATGGAGACAGACTAGTAGAATCATTATTACTTGCCAGCACCATTTTTTCCCCTTTTTTCCCCGAGGAATATTCATTTCACTGATCTGTAATATCGTGAAGCTGTCATTATGTCGTGCAAAGTTCGTGTGGAGATTCGCATTACAGTTATGTACGCCGATGGCGTTATTATTGTGGTCCACATTTAATTGTTAACTCGAAGAAAATTGTAAAAACGATGCACTGTAGAGCATGTGCCATTATGGTTTGGTACTGATGGGCCGCTCGACGTATTTAGGACATTTCCGTATTAAAAATATTAAAAAAGTATCGGATTAGATATTTGGCTTTAAAAAAAAGTCAGTTAAATTATTTGTGGTTTCGAGGGGGGGAAACTGTTAGGGTCTCTCAGGATGAAAGCGACTGAAAATCGGCCAGTTACGTTGAAATTTCCACGTACCCGTGCGGCGGAAGTAGGGATGTAGATCGGCCGGTCCGCTGCGCGTCGCCAACGGGTGCGGCCTTCTCGACTCGGCACCTACTCTCCCGCGCGGCCGGCCCCTCGACACCGATGCGACGCGCTTCGCGCATTCATCCGAATCTTCTACACGGAACTTCTATTGTTCAAGTCGTTCGACACGGAACTGCTAGATCAAAACCAATTTCACAGGGTCGTTCCTGACCAGACGGAGGCTCGTCATTTGCAAACTCAATTAATTTCTGGCTATTAATGTTCAGTTTATTATTCGATTACTTCCTATATTACTGTATAATAATATTGCAGTTTTTTTTAAATTAGCATCAATACTTCCGAGCGTTACACGATCAGATGATGGGGCTCCTTATTAGGCCCATGTTATTTCATCAGTTGGTGGTGACGGGGTGTTCGTAATATTGTATGAGGACAAAATTTTCGTAATATTAACGCAATAAATTTCTTGTACAAGTAAGTTTGAAATTAGTTTCGAAAGCAAAACGTTGATCCGTTTGGATTAACAACGTAGGTTGGTCATGGCGTTTCACTGTAGTTCCACGAGAACCAGCTTGGAACTTGTCAGCGAGTAGAACTCGTGCTAGCTGTTGCGCCTACGGCAGATGCTGCTCGCGTCCGCGGGGCGCCTGGAAGCGCGTAATGGTGGCGGAGATGCGGGGTCTATGTCTGGGGCGGAAGCGTCGCGATCGCGCGTGACGTAACAACCTATGGTAAATATTTGCACATCGCCCGCGCCGCGCTCCATTTCTCCCCGCTCGCGCTCCGCCCCGCTCCGCCCCGCTCCACCCGCGCCCCGGGGACATTCAGAAATTGACGATTTCTGACAGGACTTGCGTCTTAACGAGGGATTCGGTTGGGGAAAGTGAAGGGAAACTACACGCGAAACTGCGCAAAAGACAAGTGGAAACTGGAACCCCTTCGCCGTTTTGCAACATCCGTTCCTTCCTTCCCTTCATATTTATATGAATAACAAAAGCAGAAGGTTTGCCATTAGTCATTGATGCTGCTCATACGCCTGTCATGATTAAAGCTTCTCGTTAACCCTTGCCTTAACGTCATTCTTAGCACTAAGTAAAATCTATATTTGTGTTCATTTACTATCACGTGATGTGAAATATTTTCGTTTTGGTTAATTCACAATTAGGGATGGTGGTACGCTAAGAGCTAGGTAGAACAGCACCGAAATGGAGTCTTCTCGGGAGCGGCGGGAATGAAAATATCTCTCAAAACGAGGAAAATAGGGTCCCGTGGCTGAACTGATCTACATCCCTTTCACGGAGATCGTGTCATTTACTTCCAAATGCAACGGGAAAGCATGGGTATGTACATGATAATGATGGCAGATATGCTGAGGGGGCCGAAAACGTGTACCGGATAGGCCATACGTGATGTCGGGGCTGAAGTCGCCCGCCGAGCGCGCTTCCGCCACGTGACGCCGCCGGGCACCGCGCTGGGTGGGTGGGTGGCGACTGCGGACGTCGTGTTTCCGGAAGCAGCCCGCGCGTGCGGTGCTGCGCGTGGTGTGTGGACGGGCGGACTCACGCACGCACCCGCAGCTGCGCTTCTTACGGGGCGGGGCGGAAACGGGATTACGACCTCGAATTGCGCGCGATGGCGAGGAGCGGGACCGGACGAACCTGTCGGCGCGCAATGAAAATTACGAGTTTTAATATGGTAACCCAAATTGTAGGCGCGTAAGTTGCTCCCGTTGGTTGTTTCTCACATCTGATAAAAGGATGGCGTATTTTTGCATACGTACTACAGGGGGGGGGGAAGGGTAGCGTTTCAAACGCGTGATTTTTTTTGGACGGTAGCCTAGTTACAATATCCCGTGTTTCCGAATATTTGCGATTGGAATATATTTTTTCAAATGTAGTACTCGCAAATTGTAGCTCTGCTCCAGACAACTGATGTCTGCGAAGTGTAACAACCGTGCGTGAACGTCAAGTCGACTCTCGACTCGGATGCCATCCCGGCCGCCGCTTTACGAGCGCAATGTCTCTGACTCGCCCCCCGGAGGGAACATGACCGTTAACGAGATCGGCGGCGGCCGCTCGTGGAATTAGCCTTAACAAGTGCGGGCCGGGCTCCACATCACTGCCGCGATTCGCGTCCGCGCTGCGCCAAGTCACGTCCCGCGCAGGCGGCGGGGGAGGGCGCGCCGCGAGTTGGCAGCGGCGACGGGGAGGGCACGCGCCGCCCCGCGACGTCGCGACGCTGGATGCGCCTTGGGCCTCCGCCCGGCCTCCAGTGCGAGCTCCATCTGCGGCGCTGATGCGCGTCGCCGTGGCGCGCTCTTGAAATCGATACACGCGTCGGCGGTGTCGTGTGTCGGAAGGAGAGCGAGCGGCGGTGGCGACGGCATGTAAAGCGACTCCCGTGTCTCGCGTGGCGGCGCCGGCGTGGAGGTGCGGTGGCCGGTGTCGAGGGCGTCGCCGTTCCGCGGGTCGCGGATGCCCTTGGCTCCTCCTCCTCCTCCGCCGCCGCGCGTGGGCCGTCGCGGCAAGTGGCTGGACGAACCCACGCTCGCGGCGAGGGGCAGTCGCCGATGCGCCGCCACGGATCGCCGCCGCCGCCGCCTCCGCTTGTCCCCGCCGGGCACAAAGCGCGCCCGCCGGATGTGGTGTGGAGGCGGCGCCAGCCTTGCCCCCCCGACGTGTGAGCGCCGCCTGTAGCGGCCCAGTGCTGGGGGATCGCTAGTGCGCTGGCAGTGGGCGGTCAACGCAGCCTCCAATCGAAGAGCCCTACCACGAGTTTCAAACGCATTGACTGTGGAACTGAAACGCCATTGTGCTGGAAATATTGAAGGACAAAAAACCGTAAACATTGAACTATGAAACTATGAACCGTCTACTTATGCACCTTACGTATATCATCGATGCTGTTTCGCAACATTCACAATTTTATACAGCCTGAAGTGTCTTAAGTCATACCAAATAACCATAAGTGGGAAATCTCTGGTGCTGTCAGTTTGGAAACTAAGTGACGTTTGTACCGTTTGGCTTGTGGCTGCACGGAAGACGTGAACGCGCTCGCTAATCGGTAGTTATCGGGACTTTGCCTCTTCATCGGAGGGACCGTGGTGTCACCCGGCTGAACCTTCTTGGAGGGAGACTGCCTCGACTGTTCGCTTGGCTCGCCCCCGCACCTGCCCCTCGGGTGCTCGCCGCCGCGTCCCGCCCGCGCCGGGGCGGCCCCCGTCGCCGCGCGAGCCCATGCGAGACGTAGCGTGTCGGGTGGTGGAGCGTTGCGATTCCTGTTGGGACAGGCGGCTGGTGCGCGCAGCGGCGGCGGCGGCGGCATGCGGCGGTAGGCACTGTGGGAAGGAAGACTCGGCGGTGCCATGGCGGAAGAGGCAGAGGAATCCGACGTGAGCGTGGAGGGGGACGAGGAGGAGGAGGAGGAGGGGGCATGGGTGGGCGCGTGGGGCGGCGTGCGGGCGTTCGCGGGCGCACTGGTGCACCGCGCCGCTCGCGCCGTGCCCGTCTCAGAGACCAGCGTGGGCGCCCTCGCGCTCTTCTTCGCGGGCCTGCTACCTCCGGCCATGACTCACCTGCTCTTTTACCCTCTTTACAGATTGGTTTTCGGCACTCTCTACCCCGCCTATGCCTCCTACAAGGCCGTGCGAACGAAGAACGTCAAAGAATACGTAAGTACATTTTCTGTTTTTTTTTCTTTCTTTCGGGGATAACCGAATTACATTTATTACTTTTGGATTACGAAGAAGTATTACAAAGGGAATATTAGTTGGTGTGTTTAACTTAGAAATGTTCGTGCAAATATTGTATTGGTACGTATTAGTTCTATACGTGTATACGTACTGGTTCTACCGTGTCCCAGTGCGTTGCAATCCCCTGCCCAAGGGTATGTAATTGAAAGAACATCACGCGTGGGCATTTTCAGGCGTGTTATCGCAATTTCAAAGCCTACTAAATTTAAAAAATGGCAAGTCTGTTCTTTCGTCAAATGTGATGTTCTAAACTACTGAAACATCTAGTCTATCCTCACCATACGATGAGAACGATTTCATGTTCGTCATGTTTTCAGTTTTTGTCAACGAGTCAGTCGTAAACTAGATTTTAAAATGTTATAATACCACGCTTTCCGCCTTCCTTTCTAGGTTGTTGCTATACGACACGATATATATAAAAAGCAGGTTCTCAATTTTATCAATACTTCATTAATGCGGTATAGTTCAATGTAACTCGGGATGAAACTTCGTTTGGAAATCCATTCCTGATTAGTACAAATGCAATGATATATTGTAGTAGTCGACTAAACCTTATTTACGTACATCAGAGAGAAATGGATCACTAAATGTTTAATTGATTTCCATAAGAAATGTTCTTCTGGATGCAAACTTCAAAGTGTAGGATATCTTTCTTAAACTGCTACACGCCGAAAGACAACAAGGAATCGTCTTTTTAATTTTCGACCAGAGTTCATTTCCATATTAGTATTCGGATAATTCTATTCATTGAAGTTACCAGACTTATTTTTTATTGCAAACATCATTACATCAAGTACAAAAACTTATTCAGCAAAATATAATTTTAATCATTTCTTAGTTCAAAGACTTATTTATTTTAGTTGTTGTTTTCTTCCTAATGTTTTGCCACATTGTACAAATATCAACCATCTTTGCAGCCAAATCATTCGCTAGGGTCACTCACGTGGCCGGGAGAGCATCTGGAGGGACTGTGGCATTGCGGCATGTCCTTAACAATACTCGGCATGTACGGCAGGCGTGTGTGTGTCTAGAATAGGCAAATTTAATAACTTCTTACAAATATCAATGCTAAATACATAGGTACAAATGACATTGCAAACTGAGCAAGAATGCCCAATGCAGGTTCGAAAGAGATGTATCAACAGATCCAATACAAGTTTCTTCTTGTTCCCGAAAGCATGAGCTGCAACAATTAGATTGCCGCCCTACATCGACCTAGAAGTAATATCTTTCCGTTGAACCGCCTCTAACATGTCTGATAGTAAATGTTTCATTAGAAAGGATATAGATGCCGCATGATGCTTGATTTAGTTGAACAAGCAGTGTTGTCTAGTGAGATATCAAAACACGTGAAAACATCTTATTAAAATAGTTTTTACTTTCTCTCATACTACATACGTAATAGAGAGAAAGTTATATATTGCTGCAGCGAAAACGGGCATTTTTTGGCACAAAAATTAGTATTGTCCCCGTTACCTAAAAAGGTGATAATTCTTGTTTCCATGTGTAGAGAAATTGACTTGCGGCAATCCGTCTGTGAACAACGCTCGTGGTTCTTTCCATTTGTGTTCTAGAAAGAAAGAAAGCTTTGGAATGGCACAAACTTTCTCGCACTAGTTTTCTTATATCTGTAGGCTAGCTGTTCAGTATTGCGCCCCCCCCCTCTTTCCAGCTGCTACCTATCGGGGCCGAAACATTTTTTCGCATTTTATCAATTTTTCCATCCCTTAATAGTAGCTTAGAAATACGCCCTTAAGAATATTGCAGAAGATTAAACCATTCTTGTATGCGATTTTTTTTTTCTGAAACATATGAAGACGTTCTTGAGAAGATGCTTGAGCGCTCCTGAAAATGCGCAATTGAGAGTTCATTTTCACCGAGAAGTTTGAAGTTTTCCGTAAACTGCATTAGTAATCATTTGGATTACTTGTGTTTACACATCCAAAAATGAATAGAAAACTGTCGTAATGGTCGTAAATTATTAACGACATGAGAGAAATCTCAAAAAATTACCTTTGTGTAGTTTTTGAAAAATTAAAAGAATACATCAAAATTGTATGTTTTGTAATTCAGTGTGTGTGTGTACATATGTATGTATGTATGTATATATATATATATATATATATATATATATATATGTATATATATGTATATATATGTATATATATAATCACTTTCCACACAATGGTTTAAGAAAAACTATGAAGCCACTTGAGAAAATGTCGTTTCTCTGAAAATGCACAAATTTCCGATAATTGAAATAATACATCAAAATGTCCTTTAGATCGTGTTATTCAACGCAGGCAGCAGTGCCTGCACAAAGCTAAAAGAAAAAATTGGAGCCATTTTCGAGAAAATCTTGTTTATCATTTTTTTAATGTTGCCTAAGTTTTACTCAAAAGTACGCAAAACGATTCGTAGTATGAAAATTTGTATAGTCTCATTTAAAGATATACTTTTGTAGGACAGATTTCATTCAGAGAAAATGATTCTTTAATATCTTAGTTGTAGGAAAATCCCGAAAATCTTTTGTACTTAGCAGTTTGCGAAGATTCAGATATTTCATCGAAACTGTGATCTGCGTCTTTTTAGTAAGTGACCTTCACGATATCCGAGGCGAAGGAAAAACAGAGCATTTGGTGCCATTTTTAAGAAAATGTTGATACTGTAATTGGGGCTTCGTATAAAATACCCACTAAAATCGAAATATCAGTTTCAAACTTGCACGGCCTTGATTTCCTTTAAAACGATTAGAGAATATACATTTTGTAGAAAGTCGCCTGAACGGTTTAATCGCTAGCTTTTACCAGACAGTCACGTTTTGCCGTCTATCGAATTTTCGGTATCAAGAGCCCACCAAACGTGGATTCCGACTATACCGTGTGTTAGAGGAAGTAATTTACTACATATACGAACAAGATTTATCCACTTTCTCTGTAGTAAAACCCGGCGATGTGAATTTTTTCTGTAGAAAAATCATTGGCGCACGATTACAATATACTTTCTCTTCTTAAGAAATAAGGTGACCAAGTAAAAGTGCCCACCACTTGTGCACAATATACGATATAAATGTTCGAAAAATTGTTTTGAACTACCAAAACAGAGGGGAATATATTTAAAAGTTTTGTGCGTGTGTTTGTGTTTTCTGAGGTGGTCGAGCAACCAGTGCTTGGATCACTTAAAATCGATTGACTCAAGTGGCTAAAGCGTAAGAAAGATGTTTTCCCCGATCGATCTCGCGGCCCCGTGAATTTGTTAGGGATACTTCAGTTTTTGGAGATGTCTTTGAGACTCAATGTAAAGTTATTTTAAAAATCGTTTCAAATGTGGCTCCAAATTATTTATCGGTTCGAGAAAAGTACGCTTGTAATAATGGCGTAGGTCCGATTTTTGTTAATATGTCTGAATTTTTGCAAAAGTTGGAAAATTGCAAACGTTTCAGCGTCGTCTTACAAATACAATATTGAAGATGGCTTTTTTTCTGAATGAAATCTGTTCTTGAAAATTTATTTTTAAATTAGGTTATGTGCATTTTTTAAAAAATCCGTAATTTAGCATGATATTTAATTTAATTTGCGTCAAAACCAGTTGCAAACTGTGTGAGACGTGTTACGGGGAGAAGTGTATTCTATGCACTTTCTCTTAATTCTTGAAGCCACGTACAAGTTGAATTGAAACAGAATGAGCATTTTTCGCGAGAATTGTTACTAAAAATATTGGCTATAGGTTTTGGGTTCTTATCCTTAAACATGTCCTTCGTGAAGGATTGATATTCCCTGCCGCGACATGAACGATAATTTGAATAACTGTCGTACATTTCGCACTGAATTCTAGACGATGTGCACAGACTGTAAAGCAATAGTTACATGAAGTTAGAAATTAAGGCAATTTTAAAAGCAATATTTCGTCAAAAACTCTTCTAATATTTGTCTTTAATCTTTTTGTACGAATTGTGCTCAAAGCACTGAATAACACAGTAGGAATGCATTTTGGTGATTTATTTTGATTTCTGAAAATTTACTCGTGTACTTTTTTTATATCTTTCGCATCGTTAACATTTTCATTTCTAGGAAATTTTATACATTATGGCTTTTGTGAGTCAAAGTGCTGCAATTTATTTCTTGTGAGGTTTCTTGAATACTCCTGTTTTCTATGAAAATTTACTAAAAAAAATTGCGCTTTTTTAGAAACGTTCAAACGACAGTTTCTCAAAAACGGCTCGTAATTGTTCGATGAATATTTGCTTACTGGAGCAGGGTCCACTCTTCCTTAATATTCTGTAAGATCTATTTTAGTTCTCTTTGGAGTTCAAGAAATTGAGAAAAAATGAAAAATATGTTTTAGGCGCCGATAAGTAGCAGCTTGGGAGAGGTTCTAATAAAATCGAAAAGACAGTTCCCGTGCAGAGAAAAGGAAACTAACTTCCACGAAATGTGTACCTTTCTGTAGCACTACTAGTTTCATTTTGTCTTTACGTATCAAATACTAATTCATTTCTAAATTACTTTGATCGTATTGAGTACTACGCCTCGAACTGAATTAATAAATTATATGCTCTGCAATTGGTTCTGGAGGTCTGTAATGATCCAAGGTAGTGGCGGCTCATGAGTGTGAAGTTAAATGAAGAATTAGTTGAAATAGCTGATTTCTTGTACACCTAATCGATCCTTCGCAAACGACTTAAAACTCTTATCTTGATATTTCCAAAGTGAAAATGGCATTTCTAATAAAATACACTATTATTCACAGGATTCATATTTTAATCACCACAGCTTTATTATGAACTTCAAATAACATCTGTTCATGGAATAGCGTATTAAATTTTGCCTCTATATGAAACCAATTTGCGTCAATCTGGTGACTTCAATAGCCTCAATTTACCAAATTTAAGATGATCCTGAGTTGATCCGTGTCAACTTCAGTTGATCCCGTTGTTTCACCATGCACTTGACTCGAGCCAAGACTGAATCGGGTCAGATTTTACACACAAGTTGAACCATCGCAGGCTAGCGAATCAGCTTCGGTTCAGGCTCATGCTTTATCTTCTTGGTCGTTACTATAGCTCGTCTGGCTTCTGCTTTTCGAATATTTTAAAGTAAATACCCGCAGTTAGTGGTAGATTTGTTAGAAGACATTCGCTGATAGAATTGCCGGTAATTGTTTGCTGCAAATGTGGTTTACTTAATAGTTCATTGCAAATAATAGTGGAGGTAACTCAATTTCAGGTTAAAGTAATCGATAATAAGATATACGTATGTAGGGGTAATATTTTTTGGGTAATTATAAATATATTTTGATGAACATTACAATGTGTAAAACAGCTTTTTGTTACATTTGTAATCTTTAGAAGGTGTTGGCTCTTCTGAACATCTCAATGGCAGGTGTATTTACCGTACTTAAACAGTTGAATAGATTGTACTAAAAAAAAGTATACGAACCGTCATGCGTCGAGACAACTGCATGCACTCGCGCTCTTGGAGGTATTATTATTATTATTATTATTATTATTATTATTATTATTATTGTTACGCGAAATCTCAAGTTAAGAGGAACACTCAATTTTTAAACAACGCATTCCTGATGAGGAGACAACTTCATCTTATTTTTGTTGCTTTGGCATACATACACATTGATTGTATAAAAACTTGTGCCGCTTCCTTCCTCCACCCCATCCATCCCACTCTCAACCAAGCTCCTTCCCCTCCGCCACGTCACACCTGTTCTCCCCGTCCATCTTGCTTTGTCTCTCTCTATGCAACCCCTCAATACCTAAATGCACTGCAGGTTGTATTAAACAAAAATTAACAATTAAATGCAATTTTGTATAATTAAAAGCTAACTAAATTTGAGAGTTATAAAACTATCAAATTTTTACAGTTAAATTCTGAAACGCGGACCTTATAGGTTTTTGTTTCCTCGTTCCAATTTCTGTGCAAAATGTGGTTGAAATTACTCCGTACGTTGCAGAATTATATTGAATGAAACATGCATTCACACGAGCTAAATACGAGAATTTTAACAGTTGAGAAACATATCATTTGCTTTTTACACAAATTGCAGGTTTTTTTATTTTGATATTGATGTTTTGCACTCTTTACCTTAAATAGAAGATAAATATCACTGCCTACACATATGGAAAGGTGGCTCTCAGGGCATCAACTGGTGCCACTGATCTGAGGGTTCAATGGCGTGAATCCTGACGGTGACATAATTTTCGGCACCAGCTAGACATGTACGTCGAATTCAGCCGCAGTCCTCAGAAGAATTCTAGCGACTGACTTCTCGTTTTTCCTGGTTTCTTCGATCAATGCCAGGCGAATGGCGGAACAGTAATCTCACAAACGGACCGGGGGTGATCTTTCTTTCCTCTTCATTGTCCTACTGCCCCTTACACACACAGACAATCGCACTGGTCGGGAGCTTAGAGCTTGTTCCGGCTTGGGCGGTGCCCCGCTGGTGGGAGATTCCTGGTTGGGGAAAATCCTCGCCAGCTGTCGTAGATCGGTGCCGGTGATCGGTCCCTCCATCCAGCGGGGAAAGATCACCGCCACCTTCCACGATAAAAAACAACAAAACATTCACTTCACTTACTGGACCAATGTCCTTAAAAGTTGACGCGCGTGGAATTGCCAATCAATCAATCCTTCATTCATTGCCTACACTAATTTCGAAAAAGCCTACTTGTATCCCCCCATTATCATTTCTAAAAGAAGAGTTTAACAGCGTTTATTTTCTCATTTTTTCTCTCTCAAATATATTGACGCAAACCGCAATGAATTTAGGTATTACGGATTGTGAGACGAGGTCGAGGCATGTCCATACAGCTCGCTGACACACTATAGCAGAAAACACACACACACACACAATACTCATAATTTTAGACTAATTAAATGCTGTAACCGCAAATTTTAGGCTCTCGTTTTGTCAAAAATGTGTTCAGCCAGCTTTAGAACAAAGCCAGCAGGCACAAAATCAAAAATTGAAGTTAGGACAAAACTAATTATACATAAATTATAGGCTTGTTGTAGGCTCACAAAAATTGCTAATATTATTTATAAATATTGTTTATTATAGTAAAGAATCTAACAAATTGCAGCTCCAAGATCAGAGACTATTAAACTCATATTAATTTTTAAACTAGCCAGCTGAAGACGTTTATTTTTAACATTTTATGTAAATGATTACTACTATTTGATTATATAGCCTTAAATTAAGTGCTCAAAGCTTGTTTTTAGCAAAAAATGTTGAAACAATACAACCCAACTTCCCAAGTACGCATTTCTTCACGGCATTTAGCACCTGATAATTTTTGAACTTGATGGCAGAAAACATTGTTTTTAACATGGTATGCTCGTGATTTCGTAGAATTTGTAGATGTAGGCTTGGAATTAAGTGCTTGTCAACTTCAGCAAAAATAGCTGCAACAATACGTACTATTGTAATACGGCAATTTTTGTCCATATTATATTTCAACCATCACTTGTAAAGCTCATTCCAATCAAATTTAATTCATTTGAAGGTAATACATTCACAAATTCGACAATCCAAATCCCATCAATTTGTTTCATATACCCAGAAGCACCGCTCAACAATGAAAATTGATTCTGAGAGTATAAAACTGCCCTGTCGTGGAGATCCTATTATTGTATCGAACGTAATAACTCCAGAAAGTTTCTAGCAAAAAGGCGCGGGAAATTCGAAAATTACCTTTCTTAAAGAACTGATTTTTGAGAACAAATTCCACTCAATTTTGTACTTTAGGGACGTTAATGTTTTGTTTGCAATATCCGGAAATAGAGTTCGCCAAAAATGGAACCAGCAACACTTTCTGTACCATTCTTTGTTAACACGATAAAAAAAAATTGGGGACGCTTCAAAAAGAAACTGTTTAAATTATTTTTGATATTCCCTATTTTTCACGCAAAAATACGCGAAACTACAATTTTCGAAAACTTGTACATGACCAAGATGTCTTTGAACGGCAGAGAATTAAGAAAAAATATCCACCATCAGTATCGGAACACGCCGAAAACAATTTGAACTCTTGGATTTTCGAAAAATAAGGGATTTTCACGAAAATAAGACTTGCCTCATTTTTAAGAGTTCTTTATGATATCTGAGAAAGTCTAATAACAAAATTGGAATTATTGTGAGAAAATTTTGAAAATGGGGAGGCTGCGTGTAAAGTACCCCTAAAAATTAAAATATCTGTTTCAAACTCACAGGACTTAAGAGTTCATTTAGCTCAGTTTGGGAATATTTTGGACCAAGTTGTCTGAGCGGTTTAGGTCTCAGTGAACCAGATGAATAGACACACAGTTTTGCCATCAATCAATTTTTCAGTATCAAGGATTCTGCCTACACAACATGTGAGAGAAAGTTAATTTACAATATATCAGTACAAGATTTATATGCTTTTTCAATACCAGTAGGAGATATGTCGAAAAATTACCCTTTTCCCCACTGTATTACAATACTCCCTTTATCCTGCATCAGCAGTATGCCAGAAAGTAAAAATCTTATTTTTAATTACCTTTTTCGTTTTTCAAGTGATGGTCCAAGTGATAGTTGGGATAGAAGTTTGAAATATAACCAATAATTTGAGAAAATAGCTTCTGTTGTAGCACCAATAATTTCTTTTTCTTTTTTCTTTTTTTCTCTCTTCAATTTAGTATTAGGTTTTGAAATGCAGTCTTTCTTTTGCAGGTAAAATGGATGATGTATTGGATTGTCTTTGCCCTCTTCACTTGTGCAGAAACATTCACAGATGTATTTCTTAGCTTTTGGTATGTAAACTCTCTTCTTATCTCTTGATTATTGATCTGAATGAATTTAAGGCTGAAAATGTATTTCAATTCTTGATTACAGGTTTCCATTTTACTATGAAATCAAAATCATCTTGGTGCTATGGCTCCTCTCGCCAGCAACAAAAGGTTCCAGCATTCTGTACCGAAAGTTCGTACATCCAATGTTGAGCCGACGAGAGCAGGTAAGAAAGTTTTTTAATGTGCAAGTGTTTGTTGTTACTAGATATGGATTATTAGATGCAAAGAATCACCAATAGAAAATGTTATGGTAGTAGTTTTTAACAGTGTACAATACATCAGTAGCAAATCATTATATTTTTCCAGTATTGAGAAAAATTGAATTTGTCTGAAATAACGACACAAATTTTTAAAAAAAAATATATTGTTAAGTCAGCAGTTAATTTGAGTACAGTGTATATCTGTATCTCTCTAAAGAAGGGTTTCACATATTTTCCATGTAAACATTGAGTGCCATTTCTTGTGAAAAATACCAGTATTGATGTTTCATTTGTAGGAGATTGATGAGTACATAGCAAAAGCCAAGGAACAGGGCTACACCACTGTACTCCACTTGGGGACCAAAGGTGTCAACTATGCTACATCAGTCATTATGCAGACTGCAATTAAGGTGAGTTTCAAGGATGTGATATTCCAGTTTGTTTTGAATACTGCTTACATTCTAAATCACTTGCCTTTGCCACAGAAATCCTGCCAATACACTTGGCTGTTTTATTTTATTATTTTTTTATTTTAATTATATTTTTGTATTGTGTGAAAATTTATCACAAAACAAGAAATAGTTTATTAATCAAGAAATGTTTTTATAAATAATTTTCTGAAAGAAAAAAAAATTCCAAAATCTTGTTTTTTACTCATTACAAATTTGGAGAAATTGACTACATTTAAAATCTGTAGAAAATGATCTTGAAGTTATTTCTATCAATTCTCTATCTCTGAAATTAAGTGGTGCTGGTCTTTAACTTACGAGAACATTTGTGCAAATAATAAATGTGATTTGTAAAGGATTAATGTATTAATTAAAGCATTAGCTTGAGCTTAAGTTGTGTGTTTTTTTTGGGGGGGGGGGGAGATCCTTTGTCATTTTCAATTGTACAAATGATACAAATAATTACTAATATTTAACAAATGTCTGCAGAGACATCCATAGATTGATCTAGACATATTCATTATAATCATTCTTGGAAATAGATATGCATTTTGTTCATGATATGATTTCATTTTGATATAAGCATGCCGTGTTTAATGACTTTTTCTGCAGAGTACATTAATTTTATCAATGTCAGTGCTGTTTTACTCATATGTCTCTGAACTACAGTTTTTTGAGTCATCCAGATTTCTGGACACTATTGTCTTGGCCTTTTTTTTTTTCTTTGGACTTGTGACTTCTAACCGATCTTTCCTGTATTTTAATTACAATTGGTTGCAAGACATCAGAGTATCATTTGCATTGTGCATTAAAGGCAGTCATATTGTGATGCGAGTAACTCGTCTTGTGGGTTCAATATAAAAAATTGTAATTGTATCTAGAGTATTGGGTAGATACACCTGAAACTTATGAGAGGTATATATGTTTGTATGCGTGCAAGAAGAGCATGAGCAAAGGTAATGAATGTGAATATTAGTGTACATGCATTTTTGTGTGTGTGTGTGTGGGTGTGGGTGTGTGTGGGGGGGGCGTGTGTGCGTTCATGTATGTAAGTGCGTGTGTATCTCTACTTGCATGTCTGCTTGTGCAGATGAATGTTGATGTCTGCGTGTAGTATTTCTGAAATTTGTCTGTTTGATTGGACAAGTAAGGGACTTACTTCTATGCAGTGAGTAAGTAGTTACCTGCAATCTGATCAGATACTGATGTGTTGCATTTTATTTGTATTTTATTGATAATTCAAGAGTTTGATGAAAGCAAATTTTCTTCACTAGATACTTTTTTCTAATCCATTCTCTTTTTTTTTTTCCTGTAGAATTTTTGTGGTCGATTTCCTGTTTTGTAAATTGTGCTTTTTTCTCATTAATTTATTCTTTCTAAATTAACTGCTGGTTAGTACTGTATATAAAGTGATGCAAGCAACTGCTTTACAGATTTTGTTACAATTGTTCTTTTGTTAGTGACAAGCAATTGTTCAAATGCTTTATCTTTGGCTATCACATACAATTTTTCTCTTTTTTTTCAAACTAGGGTTCATTAATGGTTTACGAGGTAAGTCGTTCAGTATCTCGTCAGTTTTTAGTTGGCTGCACTACCTATGCATTTCTGTTTTCACGCAGTTGCCTGCACTACTAAAGATTATGTAGTTGTTGCTTCTGTTTCAATGTTAACATGCTTTTTACATGGAAATGTAATTTGTTCTTCTTGCATTTAGGTATTGGCTTCTTCAAAACGAACAATGTGACAGCAAAATTATACAAGAATTTATTCATCTGTACTTCTTGTTTAGATGCAATTTGAGATTATTTGTAAGACATCAGTTGAACACTGGCTGAATTTTTGTTAGTAAATAGAATATTTCAATCCTCAATAATTTTCGGAAAATAATTGTTTGCATGATGAGAGAAACATGACCATGTGTATATGTTTGAACGTTTGATTTTTTTGGGCAGTAATGGCAAGAAACCTTCACTTTTTATTGTGGGTTGAGATTCAACTAGATAATCAATAAGTTATTCTTATATTGCTCATTTTTCTGGAAGTTCACTGTAGACTTTTTAGATTTCATACTAGTTTTTACCATTATATCTTTTTGTATAAAATAAAAATTGTTTACTTGTAAATAATGAATTCAGATAATTAAAATGCACTTGTTGTGCATGTGATTTTTCTGTTATTCCTTTTGTATTTCTTACTGGATTTTGTATTAAATCATCATATCTGCTTTTATCTAATTTACTTCTTGTTTTATTTGCAAGCCATTCTCTCACCTTCACTTTTGAATTTTTGTGCTTAAATGCAGTATATTATTTTCCATGTTTGGCTTTTCTTTTGTTCTCAAAACTTGAATAATTTTATATCCTACATTCTTTTAAAATAGTTACAACTTATTGAATGAATAGGGACATATTTCAGTTCAAGAAGATTTTCTAAAAAACTTATTGTCAAAGGCTGCACTTTTCCCTGGACATTCAGTGGATCACAAAATGGAAGATATCCTGTGTTACTACTTTATCCACAACCTTCAGCACATGCTGTGAGCTTACTGTTGCTGCAACTGCTGCTCTTTTTTTCCACTACCAGCAACTGTTATCACTGTCCAACCTAAAACCCCATGTGGTGGTTTCCCTAATTGCTAACATTGTTCTATTCTGTTCAATTTTGTTGTCACCCTGCATGTTGTTTTGATTTATTGTTGTGAGAATTCTACCCGTTTTATCCTTGTTAATTTTTTTTTCAGCCTTATCTGTGTGACACTATTTTAAATTTTATTTTTAGTATTGCCAGAATTCCTATATTATTGTGATAGTCATGGAATTTTATAATTAGAATTATAACACATTCTTTGAAATGTAATTGTTTCAGTCTGACAATGATCCAAATGCAGATAAAATAAAACGGTCTGGATTAACTTCCTCTATTACATTCTTATTTTCAATAAATTAATTACACAGGTGTTGGAGAAGTTTCCTGCTCCTTTTTAACAGGAAGTTTGACTTTTCTGCTTTAACAAATATTGCTATGACCATGATGGCTTGTTCATAGTGTTCCTTAGTCAACTAGTCTTTATCTTCTCTAAAGTGTAATCAGTTACATTTAATAATTTTGCATTTCTATTGACAAGAAGTTGATATCTCTCATATTGAAATTATTTATTTTGCCTTCATGTCACTGTAGTTCAAGGCCATCAGGGACACTGGCAAACTACACTACTCTTTGTTTATTTTATGACCCTTTTAATTTATTTGCTTTGTATTCACCTACTAAGAATATAATAACTGATTCTGCTTGTTTTAATTCTGCCCCGCACCTGCATCTATTCCACATCCCAGAACCTGAGCCTTCCCTCTACCGTCTCGTCTCACAGTCTGCTGCCAGCATCTGGAGGTCGTGTGCGTACATCATCAGCCCCTGGTGATGAGCCGGATATAAATGATGAGGAAGAAGTGAAAACGACCAGACGACGCTCTCGTTCAGTCACAGAAGGCAGACTCCGGACTCAAAGGCGGGCAAAAGAAGACCCAGAAATGCCTTCTTCCGAAGTAGAGGAAGAAATGAATGATGTATCCCAAACTATTAAAGAACCCATTAAAGTGACAGCAAAGAGCAGTCGCACTAAGAAAACAAAGAAGAGCAAATCAACGGTGACTACGAAATCTGTCCCCCAAGAAGTGGAAATCAGTGATGTGGAGATGTGATAATAGAAGTTAATGATCTGAGTATAAGTAAAGAAAGACTGATAATATTGTGTTTTCGTGTACAGAAATCAGGGAGTGTATGTAATTGGTTCCTTTATAGACAACACATTCCATTTTAAGTTTGTGTATTTTAGGCAAGACATGATGTATGTCACTTGTGTGTTTGAAAACTGTTTTTTTTATTTTTTTGGTTTATAAAGCATTAGAACTTCTGAACACTGGTGATAATATGGAGGGAATGGAAACCCAAAATGTCAGAAAAATTGTAGTGGAGCACAAGATGTTCAGCTCAACTAACTTTGAGTGAGATTCAGCCTATTTTCTAATGTTGTTGGGCTTATTTTAATTTTATTAAACTTTTTTTTTTGTGGTAAATAATTGCATTTCCTAAAAATTGAAACTTTATGTTCAGCGACAAAGTGCCAGGATATTGAGGGAGGAAATGTTAATATTTTTGTACAATTGTTTCATTGCTAGTTTATTTAAAAAATGTAAATAAAATTGACCATTGCAAGTTTTAGATTATCTCAAACATCTCTTAACCTTAAATATCCACCCATAGTAATTCAATTTTCTTGTACTGGAATTTGAAAAGGTGTTAAACACACTTGCTAATTGACATTAGACATTTGCACCATTTATGAAAGAAAACATAATACCCAATGAAATAAAAAGTAAATAAGAGGGAGAGAAATGTAAGATACTGCAAATTAGAAACAGGTAAATGGGAATTATTATTTTTTGCAGGAATTTAATAAATTTGTCAAAACTGATATCCAAATTATTGTTCAAGTGCATGTGCCTATGTCAGCTATGTAGGGTGTATGAACATTGATATAATCAAGGTTTAATCATCATGTTCTGAAATTACAGCTGTGTATTTAAATAGAAATATTGCATGGTTGTATGGTTAATTAAATTAGGAATAAACAAGTAGAATTGCTCGCATGAATTGTGGTATATTGCTATTCTTTACATCATCAATTTTATTAATAAAACTTGAGTGGCAATTTTTAATGAAATACTGTCGGGTGCTACAGTTCCGAATATTAGGGAAGACATCAAGAGGTGGTTTCAAAACTGAAATGACTAAATTTCAAAATTCCAATTCACTAATTTTTGAAAATGACAAAAACTTTATTTATGCAGTTATCCATCTTGTTCGGTTTCATTTTTAATTGTGCACTGTGTTATTCAAAATTATATTACATGATTTTCCAGGGAGGTGGTGGACTTGTTCAGCAACTTAGACGCAGTTACAGTTTAAGTGATCTCAGCACAGATTCCGATATGGCCGATGTGAATAGAAATAGCAAGAGCAAGATGTTGACCAACATACCAGATGAAGATTTGGAAGAAACTGATGATGTTTCAATGGGTATGGTATAATAAATTGTCTTAGAGCTATTTTTGCATGTTGTTTTCTTTTTTTAATGTCAAAACTGATTATGTCAGTTGATTTTTATATTCTTGTATCCTTTAGTAACAATTGATTTGTTGTTTTTTCTGATATTGTCCAGGAGTCCGAATGCTAGTGCACATGATGTACTGTTTTGTTTTTGAAAGATATTTGAATTCTTAGAGAGAGCTGTCATTTTTTCACTAAATTGATTGCTAATTAGTTTAATGATCTTCCTCCATAATGAGACCTTACTACTATTGAACTTTAATACTTAAGCTTAAATAGACGTAAGGGCATAAGTATTGATATTCTTTTCCTTTTAAGGACTTGTCAGCAAGTCGCATGTCAATTGAAAATTTCTAGGGCTGCTTTGTTTCTATTCCTCATAATTTGATTGAAACAGGTTTATGCTCATTTAATGTTCACCAGGACCACTCATGTTTAGCAACACTTTCTGGCAAAGATGTAAAATGGCTCCAAGATTATCACGAATATTGCAATATCTGGTTGAAATCATGCTTCATCCTCAGCACACTCACTTGTACTATGCAAATCTATTTGCATTATCCACATGCTACCAATAACAATAACTTAAAGCCCCTGCTAGGCCTTAACCAGACAATTTCTCTGGTAGAGATTGAGCTTTAGAGGGTAAGAAGTTCAATAGAATTTTTAAACACTTCTGTTTGGATTATTTTTTCCCCCTCCCCTCCCTTCCTTTCTTTCTTTTAATACCTTTTAAATAATTAACTTCTTGCACCATAATTTAGCACTAAGGCCAAACATTTAAATAGACATTTACCTAAAAAACTTATTTGCAAATTCTTGATGGTGCCTTTATTACATTCACTTCTACATGTTTTTAAGATCGTGCTGTTTTAAGGGCAACACATTATTATTTTTCATCTTATTTCAGTGTACAAATCATCCTTTTGACTTTGGAACTTGTTTGATTCAAATTAAAGGTGGAGTAGTTTCTATTCAAATTCCCTCTGATTTCATTGCTGCATTATGTTACTATGTTTGTATTTTTGTTTAAATTAAATACTGCGTAACTGGATAAATGGACTTCACAGTAATCTTCTTCAAACATTAGAATAAATGTTGGGTAATACTGTCATTGTTTTAAAATCATAATGTATTTCATATGCATATCAGTTAGAAGTAGAGATTATTTGTGTGTTTTTTTGACATTTATTGTTTATAATAGATGATCACAGAGTAAGGCGCTCAAGAGGCTACAGCCCAAGACGGTCAGCGTCTGGATCAGGAAGAGTTGAAATGTACTTCCCAGAAGTTGATGTAGACGTCAGACAGCATGGATCTCACTCTCGTGATCCCAGTCTCACATTAAGGTAGATGTCATAAGTGACTTTACAAATTTTAAAGAAAGTGACAGCTTTGCCATGTATCCACCAGGGCATCAAATTGTAATTTAGTGTGTTCTAGTTCATGAAAAACCAAGTATGTGTGTTTAGGAAATATTCGGGGAATAGTTAAAGATAACTTAAAACAAGATTGTTTTTTAATTAATGTACTTTTTGTCATTCTATTAGTAGCACTTACCACATTTCAAAAAGGAAATGTGTCCAAACAAAGAAGGTAAGAAATTTTGTGCCGAGTTCATTTGCGTTCTATCAGCTTTTATTATCATTCCTAGTCAGAAGTCCTACAATCAATGCATACAAGAGTATTATTCCTGACTTCCCTGTAATTCCCCTCCATCATCTGATTGTAACATCAGTCAAAAGTGGGCTGGTGTCTTATTTTTTGCACAGATTTGATGCCTTGGCTTACACACAAAGTAAATATCTGTAAACATGTGCAGAAATGTACTCTTTTTGTATTGCCAAAATAATATCTAATATGAAAATGATTATCAAAGATACATGCTATTTATTGCAGTTTATTCGAGGTCTCTTAAGAAAATAAGTTAATAGGGGTCATGAATAGCAAAGTCAGAAAGAGAGTTTGTTAACTGTAGAAGTATGCAATTCACGTGTTCACCTTAGCCAGATTCGGTCATCTGAAGATGTGAGTTCTGGTTACTCAAGCGCTGAGCCACTCTACTCGGGCCACCATCCCACACGATCGGAAGGACTGGCGACAAGTCGGGAGCCTTTGGTGCGCACAGCTTCTGTGGGCGGGGCCAGCCGAACTGCACGCACTCGTACAACTCGAGGTGGAGCTGTTCCAAAACGATCATCCCCAGCTGAGGTGAGTGTGCTAGTGGCATACGTATTAAGGGGATATGGAAGGTTTTTGGAAGCACTCCAATAAGTAATTTATTTTTTAAATGATGCCTTGCACAAATAGAATCTGGAGTATTAAAAAATAGCAGCTTTCCCTATCAAAATTGCCTATTACCAACATCTGTCAGACCAACAGATGTTTGTGTTAAAGCCCATTTCCATGATGATGATGATGATGATTATTATTATTATTATTATTATTATTATTATGATGATGATGATGATGATGATGATGATGATGATGATGATGTTCAGGCATTATTAGCAAGTCTTGTGCATAAACCCGTTTCAAACTCATTATTTTAGCGTGAATGTGATATACCTGTAAACTGTAAAATTCCTTAAATCTCTCTTCAATGGTTCACAGAGATTTAATCAAATGTTTAACTTTCCCCAGTTAAGACATTCCATATCCCTTTAAATTTTTTACAGAAAAGTTAATGTTTGTATGTGTTTGAAATGTATAAATGTTTGTTCCATAAAAGCTTTGAAACCACTGAAGGCATTGGTCCCAAACGTTTCTTCTTTAGACTGGCCAATGAAAAAAGTTAATTATTGTCATTACTGTTATCATTTTTTATTATTATTGTTATTATTATTATTATTTAATAATAATATTATCATTATTTATTATCATTATTTATTTTTATTATTATTATTAGTAGTAGTAGTAGTAGTAGTAGTAGTAGTAGTAGTAGTATTAGTATTGTTTTGTCCAAATTGATTTTCCTATGCTACTTTAAAATAATTACTGACGGAAGTGCTAAGTATTTTTAGTCACTTCTGGAAAAGCACATCAATTCTCCTTTCAAAACATTGACTTAAATTGGAATACTTCGAATGTTGGTATTTTTTTCTCTTTATTGTGGTGCAATAACATTCATGTTTATTTGTTTACGTTAAAAACAGTTAAAAACTGTGTGACGTAATGAGTGATTTGACCACTGTTCAAAACAATTGCAGCAATCATTGGCTGATTTGAGCACAGAGTTGGGAAGTTTCCGTAGAAATGCTACAGGAATTTACTTCAATTGCTTACTTCATTTTATTTAGTTATAATTTTGAAGACTTCTTTCTCTCTTAAATACAATTGCTTTATTAGTTGTTGCTTCCTTAATTTGAGGTCTGTAGAGCTGCATTAAAGGAAAACAGAATTGCAAATGTTTGTTCTCAATCTAACATTAATAAAAGAGCACTTAACTTTATTATTTTCTCAATTCATCAACTCTTGATAAGTGTTTATTTCTGTTATGATTTTTACTTGTATTTAATACATTATTTGTGAATGTGTTTTTTCTCTTCTTTGTGTTTTTGTTTGAAGGACAGTGAACAATGGGATGGTGATGAGGCAGCTTCCCCAAACCAGGAGCAGTCTTTTTATGTTTCTTCTCCAACACCTGTTTCACTGCCATCTATTCCTCTCCAACGCTCCTATTCACAGAATGAGGTTCTTTTCCTAATACAACAGCTGAAAGAGGCAGGTGTGGCTGCCGGTTTCTCCACTGTTCAAAATGAAACTTGCTTAAATACAGATAATGATAACAAACATCAACAGACATCATTATCATCTAAAGAAAGATCAGAATCTCAGGGAGGCAGACAAGAGTCATACCATGTGCCTTTCACTGTTCAAGAAAGTTTAGAAAATACTTCAGAAATGTCAATTTCTTCAAAAGATCAAGAAACTTCTCAAGAAAGGCCTGGCCCTACTCCAGAAAAAGACAGTAGTTCAGGGATGGTACTCCAGAAATCAGAGAATCTTGACGAAGAAAGTAAAAATAATGAAGAGATAATAGCTGACAGCACTGGAGTCAGAAATACAGGAAAAGATGATGGTTCATCTGATACTTTTATCGATGCAGAAGGTGACAATCAGAATATTGTACAGAAAGAGGAAAGTCCTGAAATATTTTCAGATACTCTTCCTGCAATAAACGAAGAATTTTCTGCTCCAGAAATCAAGTCTTCAAGTACTGAGGAAAAATCTGAATTGCTTAAAACAGACTCAGTGGCCTCTCTTAAGACCGAGGTTCCCACCAATGTTGTATCTATTGAATCATCACCATTGATTGTTAGTGATTCTGTGTCATTGGTGACTGATGATAAACCAATGGATGATAGGGGAAATGAAAGCTTGCAAACACCGAATGAATGTACATCTTGTGATACCGATGTTATGAAGCAACTTGATAAGATTACTGCAGATAATTTTGAAAGCCTTCCAAAGGTAGAAGTTGATGTTGCAGGTGAAAACAAAGATGTCATTGAAGAGCCAATTAATTCTACTCATTCTACTCTCGTTAAAGATGTTTCATTTGTAGAAGTAACTAATTCATTGGCCAAAACTGAGTCTAATGAGCAGCAGAACTCTCAGAATTCTGTTTGTGTAGAAAAGGCAGAACAAGCATCACAAAGCCCTGAATGTGGTTCAGAAATGACTTGTAAAGATTTGCAATCAGATGTTCAGAAATTGGTATCGGAAGAAAAGATAGAACCGAACCCAGAGAGTTCAGAGTTCATTTCAGAAACAAACATTGAAGATTCTCCATTAGAAAAGGAGGATGTTCGCTCTGGACGTTACCATAAACTTCATGCACCAAGCCCTCCTACCAAACTTTCTGATTCAAATGTCGACATTGCTGCAGATGCAGATACACAGATTTCTAGCACATCTCCTCCACAAGAAGAAGCTGCTTCTCTTTCTGCCAATGAGAATAATGATTCTCAAACAGCAGTCACAGGTCGCCTTGTTTTGCAGCCTGGAGTAGTTAAATCTTTCTCATCTGAAACGGCTAGCTCAGAAAGTAATGAGAAGTTTGTCTCCACTACTCCCAAGAATAACAAAAAAAAAAGTACAAAAAAGCAGAGAGGATCTGCTATTACCAAACTCTTCGCATTGCCCTCGAGGAATCAACTTGGGCTTTTTGCGTCATATATACCTTTCTGGCACAGCCCAAAAGATGATGCTCAGGCATCAGGGACAGAAAGAAGTGATTGGAGGCAAACACAAGTTGCTTCAGCTAGCACTGCAAGTGGCAGCACAATGACATGTCCCCCAGTATCTTCAACACACATAATACCAAGTGCCCCAATGTCCACCTGCTCTTTAGAGTACCTGCCATTTGTGGGCACAACTGATGACCTTGCTCTTGCGTCTAGTATGAATCGAGAAAAATCGAACAGCATTAGTAACTTTCGAATTCGAGATATGTCACATTCACCTCCATTGTCTCGTCGGCAATAGATCCCAAAAATCCATGATCTGTCAGTCTCATTTCTTAAAATACAGAAACTGTAAATTGATTTTTTGATATCTTTATATTATTTTGGCTTTTGAAACTTTTAATAACAATAATCAATTAATAATCTGGAAAATTTGATTTAGGGTATTTTAAAATTTGCAATGATGATATTTAAATCAATACTTGTGAAAAGAGAACAATTTTCACTTTCTCAACAAAGGTCTTTGTAATTTAAATTTGAAAAATATTTTGCAATAGCAAAAGAGGAGAATTGAAAACTTAAGTGCAGTAGGAAAAATTATTCAAACTGAAAATTAGCATGTCAGTTAAATTCAATAAAATTGTTTGTTACTTGTCCTACAAAAAATCTTAGTTATAAAAGATAGCATCATGTATTCGAAGCCATTTAGGGAGAAGTATTCCCAACTTCCACGCTCTCACATCCTCTCCTCAACTACTAGCAAAGTAGCTACAGATGCTGAAGATACACGTAAAGTAATGTAAGACTTTGTTGGGTGCATGTTGTTATTTCTTTGTTTTTCATTTTATTGCTTCACATTAATAATAATTTTGACTAACTGAATGTCGTAAGTTCGAATCCATAAAAAAAGGATGATTTTTAATCATTGTGAATAACAACCTTCAGAACCTAAATGTGTGGTTTTGTGAATTGTGAAACTGAAGTGTGAAATTACTGTAGTGACATCCAACAAATTATCTTTATTCCAACCTTCATGGATAATTGTGCTTATTTGAAATTAACTGTATGAAAATACGAAGTTTAAATTATTTGAGAAATAATTTGTATTGCAAATAATATTCAGTAGACATTATTTTCCTGTCTGAAGGTGATGAAACGAATCCCAGATTTTCCTAAATTTGAATTCAAATATTAATCCTAAAACTCATGGACTAAAATGTATGAACTTTACCTTCATAGAGTTAATGTTAAGAAAGTTTTGTTGTGTTGGGTTAACATTGAATGAAGATACTTTCATGATTTCTTCATACCATCTCTTTCTTCTTCATGTTATTCTATTTCCATGTATTGTATCCTTCAATACGTCTGATCTCCTCTCAACAAGTCCAAAGAATGATACTTTCTTTCTGATGTCTCTAGCTACAAAAGTACATTAGTCCCAAGTTCATCGGTGTGTCCAATACATTTTCAGTCATTTCCTCCCAACACCACATTTCAAATGAATCTTAAGTCCAACTTATAGAGTCGTGTAATACATTGTGGTGCTGACTTCTGTTTGTTAGTTTTTTACTGGTCCTGAATTATGTTCATTTTCTTGTTGATGGACTTCTTTTTTTCTGCAGTTGGTTACAAAGTTAGTTTTCCTTTCCAAAATAATCTTCGGTTGGTGATTAAACCCTCGCTTTTATTGTTCTCATTCACATTGTTTTGCATTTTATAGAGATTTTATTTTTGATACTGTCATTGTAATTTATAGTATGAACAAAGTATGTGTAGGTAATGGTGCAAAAGATAATTTGACAATTGAGATTTTTGACAGAAATAGGAGTCCGTAATGCTGAAAGCTCTTATTTTGTTTCTTTTTCTTCCCCCGATCTTCCATTGCACTGTTTGCATACACCACTAGTGCATAAACTACATGTTCATCGTATTGTACATCATAAACATGTCTGTTCTCTGATACATGGGCCCCTTAAAATTTGAAACTGATGTTTTTCTTCAACCTTTTTGCTGGAATAGAGCAAAGAATGCATATAAAATACGATTGTCTGTATTGTTGAATGTTGCATAATTTGAAAAATGTCCAACACCCTCCTGCAACTACGTTATTAAAGATAGAGGTTTTTGAGGGGTGTTCGTCAAAAGTAGTCTTCAAATAATGTTTAATGTTTTTTAAATAAAGTATTTTTTGCATAAATTATATTCATTTGTTTAAAAAATTAATCTTTAAATTTATGCTCAAATTATACAAATTTTGCAATATAATATGGTTCATGTACCATTTTCAATACACGTTCTGGAATTTTGAAAATAGTAAAAATTAAAAATCGTTTCATACCTACTCTAAATCTTTGATGTGGGAGCTAAAGATATGTTAATGCAAAATATTCCTTAATATTGATTATTTTAAAAAAGTCATTAATACTTTTTTTTTAACTAGTTTCTGTGTAATTTTGGGTTATATGTAGATAAAGTTCAATTTTCTTTTTTCAAACATATAAAATTTTTATTTATAGTATATTGAAGCTAGATTCTTTAATGCAATCTATTTCTGAATGTTAGATTGTTCAATAACATAAAGTACAATTTTTTTTCGCAATCTTAGTTGTTTTCTTGAAATTCAGTTTATATTGTTTGATATCTTCAAATGATGATTCAAGTGCTAGTATGATGGAATGTTCAAAATTATAATATAACGTAATCGCCTATAAAAAGAGAAAGTACATGCTGTTGTAGCACATAGCTTTCTTGTTATTTGCTTCCTTAATTTCTTTTCTGTGTCTGATATAATTGGTAATTTGGTTACTTTTATTAGTGTTCTATGTGATTAACGCTGTAATTAGTTTCCTTACTTTCTTTCTCATAGACTACGTTTGCAACTTTCTTCTAGCTATCTGCTCCCTTTTGAAGATTTATTGCTTGTCTTTATTTCTTGATTTGCCCAATAGTTTGTTTTCTTGAAGAAATTATAATATTTTTTGATGATGATGATGATCATCAATAATCATCATCATCATCATCATCATCTAAATCTACAGACACAACGTATCTTGTCTCCGCAGTGGTTTTCTGTACTTTTTTGACGTTTCTGTACCGTCTATAAGGAAAGTTTCTTCTACATTTCTCCTGCTTCTAACATTGTGTGTGTTTGTTCTGTCCATATCTTGCAATTTGCTTCTTCACTGATTACACAGTTCTTTTCAGCTCCAGACACTTCGTTGTCTTTATACATCACTTCTGATATTAATTGTCCTTTGTAATTTCTTCTCTTTATTGGAACACATTAGTTCGAAAATTTGTTTTTCCTATAGTAATTTTTAATACTTTGCCTCTGTAAATAATAATCTCCCAACTCTTTTCCTGCAACACACTTCATGTTGGTTTTTGATTTGCACTTTTTACACCTTTTAATACACTTTTCACTAATTGCATTGTTTTCTATCTTCTGTCTATATAAGTAATTATCAACCAACTTTTCTTTCTAGATAAAGCTTGTGTTGTACCTTCCTTGTTCACTGACGTGTATTATTTTTTCTTGTCAGATTATACTCTTACACATTTTAATACATCATTACTACTAGAAGTTATATCAAAAGATAAGAATAAATTCCTTTAAAAACCTTTATTGTAGAAAAGTGAGAATACAACAAATTATAATCTTACAATAGTAATTAATGTAAGTAATTTGTTTTAGTCGGAGAATTTAAAAACTATAGATTTAAAATCTAGGATCCTTGACAAGTTTTCAAGATTTGAAAATTTGACCGTTCCATCCATACTCTGTTAATTGCACTTGATTGGCAAATTTTATATTTCTATTACCGGCTTTATATTCTTTAACGCTGATCTACAGAACAGATTTTGCATAACTAACAAAAAGTTAAAATATATTGTTTTCAATAAAACTAGTAAATGTTTTGTTGAATCTAGGACAAATAGGCTAACTGTAATTTGGTGCATACCAAAAAATAAGATGTAAAACCTCGTATCAATTTTATATGATTTAAATTTCTTCTCATAGTAAATCTCATAGTAAATGTCAATAAACTGTTTAGGGTAATTGGCTTTAAATCTGCCGTGTGTTTGTACAGGTTCCGGGATTTGCAACTCTTCCACGCAGCAAGAAACCCAGCAAGAAGAAAATCCAGTGAAGATTAAAATTTGAGTGCTTGGTACTGTTTCACATTTGCTGGTGATCTAAAGATCAGTTAGAGGCAATGAAGACAAGGAAGATGATGATGAATAGCAGACATGATTCAAAGCAGGCAATGGAGAAAAAAATTAAGAATGTTTCCCTTTCTGCTTTCTTCAGTAATACATATCAATTTTTTCTTTCTTGTCCATTAGTTTGATTAAATGTCAACTTGTTTGTTCTCTTATAGCGTTCTAATAGCCAATTGCTGTGGTTAAGGATTTTCATTGCCAGGTAACAATTGCTGAAATTCAGCCTTTATGAATGTTGCTTATTAACAAACTGAAAAAATTACATTATCTTACAGTATTTGATTTGTTAATATTCAGTGTGAAAAAATTTTCACTTTTGGATGCTGTCACTGAACTATGCTTTTTTGAAAATGTGTATGTTGTGAATATGTTATATATGCACGAAGTGACCAGAAATGAAGAGGATGTTCTGTATGTGTAAATAGGTGTGGTTTTGTACAATCTTGATCTGATCTAGGTATTAGTGTGAGATTGTGATTGGGATATTGATTGTGAAGGCCATTGTGTACCCTGTATGTCACAAACAACTGTATTGATGATGAGGATGATACGCTCTAGTTAAATACATGCTTTAAAAGCATACTTTTTATACCATTATACAATTAGAATGAGTTTAAGTAATTGTATACATCATTATAATAATTATTGTTCTACAAACATTCATGAGAAATATTTGTGCTTCAAACTTTATACTTGTTGCTTGTGAATACAAGAAATGAATTTGTTTATAGTGCCATGTTTATAAATGAGAAGTGAGAAATGTCATTGTCTGCATGACGACCACTTAGCATAGATCATTAAAATGAAGATTGTACACTCCAGCATTTCAACCATGAGACTGACCGATCTGGTAGATATATATTGACAGAATTGAAGTAGGGCACTAGCAGGCTTCATCTCTTAGGGAAATGTTTGCAAAATAAGAGAGTTTACAATTTTGGTTTTGTTGTTAATTGTTTCTTGTTGAAATCATAAAAACACTGACAACATTAATGTACAATAGTTGTCCTTGTTTTGAGTAGGCTTATGCTGTATTGATATTATGTGGCTATTGCTTAAATTGTAAAAAAAATTCTTAAAAAAATCGAAGAAAACAGGTGCTGAAAAACAGGGTGCTCTACTTGTGAAGAGATGAACAAAACAAAAGTTGGTAGGAGCACCTACTTGCTAGGAAGAATGTATTTCGAGAATAAAGATATATTGTTATCAGATAAGTTGTCATTTTTCTTTACTCCTTCCTAAAAGAATTTCCCATGGAAGTTTTAAAGTGGTCTGCACCATTTTTAGTTGTTAAACTTGTCATTTCACGCTTCATTTAAAATATCATTTGTGTAATGCAGTAAAATTCTTGGTAAAGAATTTAGCATTAGCCTGCCCCAGATTCCTAGATATTCAATCTTTCCTAGTTTTTAATTTGAAACCACCTTTTATATTGATTAGAAACAAACATTAACAGCTTAAGCTTCAAGTGTCTTCAGTGTCAAATTGGCTGCCCATTTCGAGGGGAGAACTCTTTCTGTGCAGGAATCAAATGCTTCTTGATCACAATTCTGCTCTTGATCACAATTCTGTCTAATAGTTGTGAGCATTTAGCCACCGTGCATGCATTCATTCATACATTGTTTTGTATTTTAACTAATAAGGAAATCTCTTAGGAATGGGTTATTTCTAACAAGTTTCATGATGTAGATAAACAGATTTTCCTCACCGAAAGCACAATTCAACTCCTTTTTGAAATTAAACCTTTTTACTCAAAATTCAAATTTTTCAATTTTTGTTTACATTACAATTCTTCAGTATGTTTATTCATTACAATCTATGATTGACTTGCTTACATTTTGGAGTAGGACCTTCACAAAAAAAATTCAATGATTCTAGTCCTCTTGGTAAATACACTGCAAATGTTACTCACCCTGAGACTACGCCTTTTGATAAACATCAGATTTGTGATTAAGAGTATTTTCTGACAAGTGTTGCTATTTACTCTTCTACCTCTCTAGAAACTGAATTGCATTATTGCACATTAGAGCATAATTGTTGAGACCTGAACGAGATTATGCTTGTACTTTCCCATGTCCTTTCAATGTTAACAGAAATTAAACTGAATTGTGCCCACTAAACATAATCAATCAAATAGAACAAAAATAAATTCTGACCTGACATTTTAGAAATACTATATAATACTTCCATTTTGACAAAAGTACCATTTAAAAGTTTCAATACTTTCAATTATCTTGTTCAGTTCATTTGTGCTAAGTTTGAGGTTTACAGTTGTCTGAACAATCACACGACTGCCCCTAATGATAGGTGCTTGCCAAAATTCAAGGTACATTCACGTAAGGCTATACTTTAATTTTGAATCTAGGTTACTTTTGCAACCTATTTTGTACCCACTTAGCATCTTTAAATCATTTGCTATCTGAATGAAATGCCTAAGGTCAGAAGACAAAATTGTACCATAGGAAAGGACTCATTTGGAGGCGCAAGTCAGGGAAGTATTGCTTTGACAAATTCTTGCCAAAATTTCTTTCTTTTTCCAGTCATTGTTTTTCTAGTTTCTGTTGATAGAATAACCAAACGGGGAATTTGAAGAAAAGAAAGGCCTTCTTTTAACAATTTATTTCAGTTTGAAAATACAGACTTAACTTTCATTTTTTACAAACGTCGAATTCCAATACTACGAAAGATCTGTGACTAGGACGAACCCCGAAGGCGACAACAAGGCCAAGAAGCACGAACTGCTGATGTTGAAATCTGCAACAGCAAATTAATAGTTTGTTTTTTGTAAAATTAACCCTTCCTGAAAACAAAAATTGACAAAATTAAGATAGCATTTATAGTGCATTTTCATTGACAATGTTTGCATCGCTCCTACATTCAGAGTTCAAAGTGTAGGAGCCAAGCAAGCGTGGAAAAGGTCTGCATTCGAAAAAATAATTAGTAGAATATTATACATAACGTTACCATTCTACCTGCAGCGGGAGTACATCGTTTCCATGTGTTTAGCAAACTTCCATCTCCTCTTGACTTTGACAAACATCGCATTTCTCCTAAAACAAAAATTAAGTTAGAAATTAAAAATCTGCAGGTTAAGTTCAAACGCGAAGTCCAACTTGACAACACTTACTTTTCGTTCCGGAAGTTCTCGAGACCTTCTTGCTAGAAAATTCGCTGGTTTACGTTTCGTCCAAAAGAATGTGGGGAAGATAGAGATTTGTATAATTCCTCCCTCGCCGTGTCTACTGTATGACTGTCACTTTCCTGGGCGACATGCCACGATGCGAGGACGCACCTCGAAATGTATTTCCAGGATGTCTCTAGAATGCTGTCCTCGCACAGTAATACTCAATTATCCACGAATCTAGCATTCTAGTTCACTTCCGTAAAGGTGAAAAGGCAACGTAGGACCTGAAATAGCTCGGACCACAAGGAACCACCCTCACAAATTTTGACTACAGGCCCCGGCGATCAGTTAGATCTGTCTGTACCAAGCTTCCCTTCTTCGCCTGACCTCCGAACCCGATCTACGGTTGGTGACATTACTCTATAGGGACTCTACTCTCGCGGACTTTAAAACGGCAAACGGGGAATATGGTGGCCATGAGAAGTTTCTTTATTACTAATATGACACAGGAATCCCCTTACATTGTACTGAACAAGGCAGTGTCCGTAATCCAATCAAAAATGTATAGATTCTTTACAGGAGGAATCAGACAAGCCATGTTGGCATTGTAGAAATCGCCGACATTACTCGTCTGAATATCAATTAGTAAATGCACTGAACGTGGGTTAATGAACAATAACAGAATCGACGTTGCATGTCGACTATGAATCACAACACTTCGTTAAGTGCACAGCGTGACCGCAGGTCATCCATCGAAGCGTCGCGAGCTCCAGCCGAAGCCAAGAGGCGTGGAATCCCAGCGTACCGCAAGCGAGCCCCGGCTACGAGGCCCGCGCCATTGCCACGTTAGGCCCTGCTCAGCCTCCGTGCACCGACCGTATGCTGCGCCCTGAGGCGGCTGCCCTCTTGCTCGACGCACGTCCTCGTCCCAGCGCGGCCGACGCCAGCGCAGTCCTCGCGACGCGGCGGCTCCGGGCGAACAACCAGCCTTGCGCCCATTCCCCGCTTCGCCCCTCCACGCTCTAACCCCCCGCCTGCGCCCTCCCATTGGCCCTTTCGGAGGAGGAGGAGAAGGAGGGGTGCTCCCAATCCATTCGCATTATGGCGTTTATAATGCCTGTAAGAATATGCATATCATCGGCAATACTGAGTTGTTTCTGTTTGATAAATAATACATAATTCTTTCATATACGCAGTGAAATCTTTATGGATAGTATAGGATAGGGTCATGTAAGCTAACGCCAAGTAAATCGTTGGTAAAGCTTCAACTGAAATGGTGCAACTCAAACATCGTATTTTGAGTTATAACCGTAATTTTCATCAGTTATTAAAAGAGTCATATTCGCATTGTTAAATTTTTTATTAGACATGCTACTTGTAAGCGTTCTCATTGCCATATTGTCATTAGCAAACGTTCTGATAAACTGTGAGGGAAACCTCTCGAGGGTTTTTTTGGGGGGTGGGGGGATGTCATGGCCTATAGATGTGGAGTTCTGCTTTCTGGCATTGATTAAGAGCAACTCAAAAGATGCACTCTCTCACCTCTTTTTTCCCCTTTCTCTCCCCTCTTTTCTCACTTTCTTCTCTCTTCTCCCTCTCCTATCTATACTATCTCCCATTCCTTTCCCTTCCTCACCCGGTGTTCAAATTTTCAGGGGTGTTTTGAGATTTTTTCTGTTTCTGCTGTATGGATGTTGTGATCTGCTGTGTAACATCAATGATGGATGCTTTTCCCCCCTGCATGTTATGTAGTACAATTGTTTATTTGCTGGAATCGTTTTATCAGTACGTATTAGACGGTCATAATACATTGTGAACTGATGACAATGAGTTGGGTTTGGTATTCATAATTAGAGATAACTTCATTTTCTGCTAGTAGCCAATGTTTGGTTACTAGGGCATGTACAATATTTGCAGTCGGGTTGTGCCGGTGTAGACATTCTGTGGTGGCGAGGTTTGTAATAAGGTGATCTATTGTCTCTGCTGATCGATGACACTCTACATTCGTCATTAACATTAGTTTTTCAATAAATAGTTTTTAGTTATTATTTTAAATTATTTGGTCCTGAATTTCTTCAATGAAACCCTCAGTCTCTCCACACAGAGCTTCACATCTCTGAGCTACAGCACTGAAGCGTCGTAGTCGACTCTTTGGAGCATCTACCATGGAGAGGATTGGACTTCCATACCTGTAACCTTTCCTTGACTGCCGTGATATCAGGGTAGTCTGCATTATTGCTGAGATGCAAGAGAGTGTGTCACATAATACTTTTGTAGAGGCGGCAGTTCAGATTGCATTTTGAAGTACTTTTTCAGACCTGTTGCCTAGCGGTTGCACAATACTTTCAGATCTAGTAGATCACGACCACCTTTTCCCCTGGGAATGTATGTATGTACTTGGCGCGACAGCCCGTGCTCAGACCTACCGACGACGTCCTTGCCTCGTGGCCATGGGTTAAGGGGGTACGTGTGGTTTTCAGCCTGTGAAGTGAATTTTCTCATCGTCACACAGCAACATACCCTGAGACATTACAAGAAAAACGCACCATATAGTCTTGGCTCGACCGGAAATTGAACCTGGGGCCGCGTAGTGGAAAGCACGCTGACCAAGAGCTAACCACGATATTTTTTCGGGCGGGTTTTTCTTAAGCCGTCGTTAATTGAGCTCTGGGATCTCTGCCATAACTCATATAGGTACTTAAGTGAAACAGTCGTGATACGAAATGAGTGAGGGCTCGCCCGAAAAACTTTTATCCGGGCCCGCTTTATAAAAGTGTAGTGCAAACGCAAGTAGTGTTAGTATCTTAAATAATAAATATATCCCCTAAAAATCGGCCCTCTGTTATCTGGATCCACCCGCATTGCAGGCTCGGACGTTACGCCATTGAAGTAGAATTATGAATGCAGGTAGTAACAAGCGTTTTAGCCAAGAAATAGTATGAAAATGTTCGCTCTTGTGTAAACAAACTATTTACTAATGCAAATCAGCTAAAGATGTTTCAAAGACCCTCAGATTCACTACGTGGACATTGTGATGGAAATTACCTAAATACTTTAATACAATATGAGCAATATTATTCAGTGTGTGGTTCTTTTCTTAATGCACTTTCTAAATATAAAATATAGGTACTATATCTGTTGATATGTAACTAACAGTTTGAAAATGTTTAATGAAGAAACATACAATAAACTTTTACACGCAACAAAAGGCAGTTCTGAAATACCATATTTACCCGAATATAAGCCGAGGATTCTTTCTAAATATTTCTGTCGAAAAATGGGAGGTCGTCTTATTCGCAAACTAAGCATAGGCGGTTTGGGTTTGTGTTTTTTACATTGCATTTCCATGCTATTAATCTCGTAAATTTGACGTAACAATAAACTGCGAAGACTGTAAAAATATCGCACGTATCTGCAATCTATAATTATATTCACCGGCATACATGTAGTTCTGATTTAAGAATTGTACGTATGTTTTGTAGTGTCCTCCAAGTTGGTATGTTTTTAAAACATTTCGACAACTCTGTTCGAAGTGATGCGTTTTTTCAATATTCTGAGGCATTTCTTTTTCTTTGAATATTTTGTATTTTAGGTGTGTGTATAGAATAATTCAATGCAATTAAACCAAGAAATTACATTTTTATGAAAATCTACTTATATTTTGCAAGAAATGGGGGAGTTATTTTAATAAAAAAAACACTCGTAAATCAATGTTTTTTAAAATGCAGGTTTACAGCATGGTTAAAATGCAGCAACAATATCTTTGGAGAAAGACATAAAGCTGGCAAATTTCATTTCGGAATATGGTGGACCCACTTCCATCATCACTTTTTTAAATTAATGAAATTCACTGTTCTTGGTATAAATGTTCTTATGCACGTAATTGCAAGAGCAAAACGTTCAATAAAATGAAGTAATAACAGAATAATCCTTATCTTCCCATGTAATCGCTGCACTGAACATTCAGCAGTTCGAACTACGTTCTTTCTACATACTTCATCTACCACAAAATTCAAGACCACTTCACATGCAGAATATTATTTCTTCAATATTTTGTTTCATGAGAACATGAACTGGAAAAATGAAATGATACGTTAGAAGCACTCTTGGCCTAGCTGCGGCGGTGCCAACTTGTAGGTCAGTGCCGATCTCGCCACCCAGCAAGCGAAGAAGACCGTACCTCCCGTGGAAAACATGCACTACCCTTACGGGAACAATTGCCATGGCTGTCGATACGCCACGACAAAAAATATCGAATATCGGTTACTGCATCCGCTGTTTTATCATGGAAAGGAGGTTGATAATGGCAATATGTCGCCTTCAGTGATGAATTCGTGTTTTGTTTTTACATCTAAACATTGCCACTAATGGCAGGAGGAATAATTCCGCTAGCTCGTAAGGGAGCGATTAAAAATTCCACAAGCGGGAACCTCTGAAATCGCAAAACGGATGCAAAGGTTTTATATTGTTTTAGTAGTTACTTTCTTTTCTTATCTCTGAAGATATTTAAATAGAGATTGAGAATCAAAATAAACCAAAAGTTGTACACAGTTGAATTTTAAATTTATAACTTAATAACAGAGGGTAATCGGAGGAATCGTTGAAGGTACATTTAGGCCGAGAGCTAACTAGGGGCTAACAGAATGGGGGATTGAGAACACCAAACGTTATTAAAATCCAAACGACGCGATCGGCTATAAATCATTACAGAATACATTCGTCACAATACTCATACGCCTGTTATTCTGCAGCTTCGACAGACCGACGTGTGTCAATGCATTTCCCCCTTCCCCTTCGCCACACCACCCAGAGAGTATATTACACCACCGCGTGGCAGGAAGCCAGTGCCCGCCGAGTTCCTCTTCCCGCCGTTAGAGCGCTCCGGCTGTGCCGAGTGCGGGCCGGGCGTTCGGATGGCGCTGTGCTACTGTTCGTTTTACGGACGTTATCTTGCCCGAGGCCCTAAACCCATTACGAATCGCGACGAGGGCGGACGTCCGCGCGTGGATATAAATCGGTTTCTTACCTGCGACTCCCCCCCCCTCGCCACTTAATTACAGAAGCCGCGCGAGTCGTAGACGATGCCGCTTCTGACACTCCTGGTGCCGACAGCGAGAACTGCCCGACCAGAAGCGGGCTTCGCAACTGAGCGGGCTGTGGCGCCAACTAAGATCCTCTTACAGAATTTTCCGCGTTCGATTTAATGACCCCAACGCGAACTCCCGGGCGCCTTTCTTCAGTAAACTTTTCTTTGAAACTGGAGTCAAACTCGATTTGGTCTTTGAGTGTTTGTAACATATGTCAAGTGCGTTGTTGCATGTGCATTGACGTGCGGGATCTCTAGAGCACTTCGTCAGTTCGCTCGGTAAAGAGTTAACGAACACAGCATTTCTCAGGGCAGAATCTGTGGCAGAAATAAATTTTTTGACACCCAAGAGTACTTAGAAGAATAAAGGAATTGCTTCGTTTTCCAAATTGTAGTGCAGCTTTTTCCTTTCTTTGAAAGAACAATGTGTGTTTTTTTGTAGGTACAACTAGGAAAATATAATATTTTATTTGTATATTACACGGAGATTCCAAAAAAATGTATTTGAATTT